GAATAAATGAGTTAAAATAAAATAAAAAGTTTGAAGTTCTATTCTGTAGTTGAAGAGGTTTCTTTTCCCATCTGGGAATATAATTAAAAAATTAAGCCTGGAGTTAAAGTTTTTTTTACAGCAGGAGAAAATAAAGATAAATACAACATTTAATTCACTGAAGGAGAGATAGGTTTTGTTAGTGTTACAAAGGTTAACATGTTTTACTCTTTTTTACCGGTATCAGAATTACTTTTCAAGTAATAAACAGGTTTTTACAACTGTAATCACATTAAGCATTAAAACCTGTTATGATTTTGTTTCTGGTAAATATTAGCAGGATTGTGTTTATATGAAGTGAACATACGAAATGTTCATATATTTAAACCAAAGGATTTCTTGTGAGAATCACCACTGGGTGTTTAAAAATAAATGACAGCGCCGACCTTTTTATGACTCATATATAATGAATGTTTTACCTTCTTGACATCCTTATTCTTCTTCACCGTCCATAAGCCGTCTGATAGCTTGTCGAAATACTTCCTGGCTTTAGGGGCTGCATCCAACATGTGGCTGGGTGGAACCCCCAGGACCTCCACGATCTTATTCATCTGGTCGACCTGTTCCAATACATTCAGCCACGTGGTGAGAAACACGTGAAGCTTTCTGAAGCGCTCCACCTGGTGTTAACGTTTACCTCGTTGGAGCCACTGAAGAGAGGCTCGCCTGTGTGCATCTCCACCAGGATGCATCCCAGAGACCACATGTCGATAGCCAGGTCGTATGGCATCCCCAGAAGAACCTCAGGAGAGCGATAAAATCTGCTCTGGATGTACTGATAGATCTGAGGGAAACGACAACAGGGAAAGTTGAAGGACTCAAGAATAATACTAAGAAAAGCTGAATTTATTTGATTTGCTTCTGGACACAGAGTTCCTCATATTATCTTCATAAATGGGCCTCATGTAAGCACATGTTCATATTCTTATCCTAAATTTCTCTTACTTTTGTTCGTACGAAGGGTTCGTACGAACATGTCACGTCAGATTCAACAAACTCTTCTATCTTCAGGAAAAGTGTGTAAATGAATTACACCTGGTCGTATCCAGCTGCTCGTGCACGCGAGAGGAGATTAGCATAACTACCACCCCAAAAACACCATATAAGGCTATGTTTCCTGCCTCAGACACAAGGAAGTGTCCATTCATGAAAATGACAGCGAAAACTAAAAAGAAGAACTTTACGAGTTCAGAGATTGAAGTCCGTCTGTCAGAGATCCAGAAAAGAAAATCTGTCATTTTTAGCAGGTCAGCTGTGGAATAAAAAGAGCTGCTAAAAGTATAAATAACTGTGTTAAATCATTTTCATTTATTCAGAAGACACAGCGCTGCACACCGTCCGCCCCCCCCGGCGCGCTGTCACAGGTGGTCTCAGATGCGGGTTTGAAATAAGCATTTTAAAATGATTTCAAAATAAGTCTGGCACTTTGGAGAAAACCCAGGACTCGCTGGAGGGATTATGTATCCCCTCTGGCCTGGGAACGTCTCGGAGTCCCCCAGGACGAGCTGGAAAGTGTCGCTGGGGAGAGCGGGGTCTCTCTCCTGGTGCCCCCGCACCCGATACCGGATAAGCCGGCCGGACGGACAATTTATATTGTTAGTCTAAATTATTACATTTAAAATTATAACTCTAATTCAAGCAGAATAGCCTATTGTCAACATAATTATGGAGTGTAATTTATTTTCAACTCAAAATATCTTCAAACTAACTAAATATAACGTTATTAGTGAAGAAAACCCGTCTGGATAACAGCAGACTGACTGCTCGTAAAATATACAACAGGTCTGGACCACTCGTGAATTTTGTTTATATCTGAAAAAAATCTTAGAATACGAAAACATTGGTGAATGCCACAAATTCTCCTAAATCACTCGTACGCACAACTTAAGAACAAATCTGTGCGTACGAACGGTTCTTGCATGAGGCCCAATATATCTTCATAAATGTTCACTTTGAACCAAATCAGCCGACAGACTTTTTACATTTCTGAATCCAGAGTCCACAGAATGAACGATCTGCCAAAACGGACGCAGGGTTTTAATGCCGACTCATCACGCTGTAGAGGTTTCTATGAGTATAATTCACTACAGGAAGGTCTGAGGGCAGTATCACACCATTTCAGCGTGTCATCAAGCGCTACAAAGGTCCTTCATTCATTGAAACCAGGTGCGCTGAAGCAGGGAAACATCTAAAGCATGCAGGATGGTGCAGGAAGTACAGCCTTCGCACACAAACAGTGCAACAAATTCATTTACAGCTTCAATTTTATACAGACAGGAACCTGCGTGCAGAGTCATCATCTAACAAATGAATCTGATTTTATTGGGTCAAAGATAGAAAAAAATTAACACATCTCGATTTATTTTGAAAACTATTCCAATTCATGCCTGCTCTACCAAGGCATCTGCAATTTGCACATTCTTATAGTATGAATGAGTTCATTGTCAAAGCCATAGTGTACATATATACTTGCACACACACATTATGTTACGTACGAGTCGTTTATTTAATTTTCTAATCCATGAGTTCTGTTTGGTTGCACTTTACAAATTCAAAACAAATTCCTAGCTGTGCAAATTTTACAAAGAAACCCCTCAACAGCAGGTATCTTGTAAATGAAGCATCTCTCAGTAATAATCAGTGGGTAAAAAGCCCTCACAACATGTTATTATATAAATGTTTATATATTCTAAGTACATGTTAAAGACTTATTGAAGCAGGAAGTGCTCACCCTCTGTCCCAGCTGACATGAGGATCCAAAGTCCACTATTTTGATGGCGGATCTTTTGGGGTTACACAGCAGAATATTCTCTGGTTTTAGATCGCAGTGGATGATTGACAGCTCCGGAGTGGCCAGGAATAGTAATGCTGCAACACAAGACAAAACATTGTTCCCATAAACATATAGACTTCAAGTATATAGAAACCAAACTCACAGATCACCCCGTTTTCCAACGTTCATTTCCCAACAGAACGCTCAGGACTGTCAGGTCTCTGGCAGAGGAGTCAAGGTTGAAGTAAAAGTATAAGACTGGCAGGGCTAAGATGATGTGGGTCTTCTTTGTGACGGCTAACCAACCGGTCATTATGGTGGGCAACATAGTCCAAAAAAAGACAGCTGATAGATGCAGTGATCCCAAGTGACAAGAACACCAGGAAGAACGAGACGCTGAAGAAATACCAAGAGCTGCATCACTGTCAGCTAGCCTGGCCGAGTTTATTTAGAGCAGTAGTTCTGCTTTAATGTTGGCCAGTTTGTCAAACTCCTGATCCCTGCGTGCTATTAACTTTAAACATAATGTCTGTAACTGAGCATACTTTGAAAATGATCTGATTTATTACATTTAATGTGTAGCGCTTCATGTCACAGATCCATGTCAATTTCAGTTCCATTAATTCTTTTCTGAAAGCTTAAGTCTATGTGGGACTTTTCTCAAATCAGATTCATTTCTTTGTATATTTGCTAATTTTATGAATGCCACAGGCAGCAAACAAAGGGAAGAGCCCTGAAAACAACTGCCTGAGTTGGGCTGCCAGTCCAGAAAGAAGAAATTATTAATATCAGCAAAAGGATCATTTGGTTTTAGTTGGTTTTATGTGTTCGGTTGTTGTTTAATGATGAATCTGGTTTGTTGAAACCAAATGGAGTCAGAGTGAAATGGAGATTAGTTGCATTTTTGTTTATGGAAAAATAAATGTTTAAAACTGCTGGTGTCAAAGAGGAAATAATATAAGGGTCATGCTTTAAAGTTTTTGTGTTGCCCTGCAGAAGGAATCAAATGATACCAACTTTCAGTTAGTTTGATTCTCCAAACAAAGGCAATAAGGCAAAATTTGTGGCTTCAATCCAGCCACAGAGAGGGAATAAACGCTAAACAGTTTTACTCAATCGTGCAGAAATCACAAGTTTCTTATATTTATACTAAAGACGGATTTTACTTGTTTGGGAGTCATTTTAAACCACAACAACATTTACAAGTTTATTAAGATAAAAGATCAAACTACTTCTGCAGCCACTGGTTAACCCTGGTAATAATTAGCTTACTTTTTCTTCCAATAATGATAAAAAAACAAAAACGCAAAATTAATCAGTTTCTTAAAGAAAGAAATAAAAACTATGACAAGCAGTACAGTATATTCTCCTGGGGATTCAGTTTATAACACACCATACCACTGGATGGGGCTGTTTCACAATCCCATGAAATTTAATCTGTTTAAAAGTTTATTTATAGATGATGGTTCATTGGAAGTGATATTACAGAATTATCTGTCACATTTGCCTAACAGGTCATCTGATGTCTGAGCACTTCAAAGTTTTCTTTTTTTTTTTTTTTTTGGTTTCTGGCTAAACGTTGTCGTTTTCTCAGCAAACCCCTCAGGAGTTCTGTTCACCACCATTAAAATCAAGGACTTGTTTTCTCCTTGAAAAGGGAGATGGAAGCACTGTGACGTTCCACTCTGTTCCACTCACACGCTCTGATATTCTGACTGACAGTCTGAACCATAACTTTTATTCTGGACTAGCTGGAGTAAAGAAGAGTCTTTCAGCTGTTGGATTATGAGGACAGCTGAAGTTTGGTTGTTTTTATCTCAGAGAGGGAATGAGGATCACAGAACACAATCACAGTTTGCCGCTGTGTAGAGCTTTACTGTTAAAGTCAACATTGTTACAATGACTTAAGCAGGTATAACAATGAACCTATAAAAAGTTTTGGTCATATTGTGTGTACCCAACAAGAGGGGGCTTAGAGATCATCACTGCCTGTGAGAAGAGATGCTTGGTTTTCTGATCAATGGCAGTCACACCTTGCTGTACGAACTGGTAATGTTACCTCTTTGGTGAGGAGAAACCTTGAGTTGGTGTGTGAAGCACGGTGGAGCATTTTTCAGGTAAGTGTGAAGTGACCAGGTTGAAAACAAACACGGTGCTATTCTGGTTTTGGTCCTCAGCCAAAACAATGGTAAACTACCCCTCCAAGGCTGGTAACAGGATGAGGAAGACTTTGGTAGACTACAAACATCTTTGATATCACAATCTGAAGCCAAGTCTGAGACACCTGGACACTGGACTGTGACTGTTGGTGACTAGTTGGCAACTCCTACTCCAATCAAAATGGCAAAAAATTGGAAAATTTCATAATGCTGTGTTTGCAACCAAATTAACAGTAAGCCGTGTTTTGTGAGGGCAACTGTTGAAAATTGGTTTATTTTCATGTGCATGGTTTATAAATCTGTCTTCTTTGCCATGCACAATATTTAGCTGCCCACTTTCGCCCATATTGTACCTACCTTAGCTTGTTTTGTCCACACTTAGCATCAGCGTGGGGAGTGGTGGAGCAGAGGTTAGAGAAGGCAAGCCTGTGATCAGAAAGTTGCCAGTTTTCAAATTTCCTGACTGTTACACTAAAATCTGGGTGTGAGAGGTGAAGCCTGCACCTACATCCGCCTCCTCCCTCATTTGCCCCACTAGATCTTGAGCAAGGCCCTTAACCACCTTGGGGCACCTAGACCACCCCTGGAAGGTGCATCCGGGATAAAAGCAAGTGCCGAATCTTCGTTTGCTCGCTTTGGCGACGGTCTGAACATATTAAAAATAGAAGCAACGGGAATGCGAGGCTCTGAAACACTGCAAACGTTTTGTGACATTCTAGAGTCCCACACCAATGCTATATCCTCAACTAGTCTCCAGCAGTCACAGCCCAGTGAGAAATTAGTTTAATGTGTGAGATCATGGAGGAATGAGGGATTGAGTATACAGTCCTCCATTCAATGATTTTCACAATTTCACATTCAAATTACTATGGATATAGAGTAAAAACTACAAGATGCACAACTATTTGAAAATGTTTTACACGTGGTCAAAACCATTCTGTTAATTTGAGCTCATCATTCTCTTCTAATCGACTGAACTGCTGCCACTTTTAGACATATCGCTGAACAACGTGCGACGACGGTTTCCATCCACCTACCTGTGCAGAGCTGTTGTGCAAATTTTCTTGTGAGGTTGAGAGAAACTCCTCTGAAGTTGGTGTTCCTCAGCAGATCATACAGGTTGTAGCTCAACAACTCAAACACCAAACAGAGATGGTTCCTAAACATAAAGTGACGCTTCAGGTGGACTGCACAGAGACAGATCGACAGACAGACACAAACAAAGATGGAAGACAAGAGGGGTGGTTAAGATAGGCAAGACCGGCAATACTGTAAAACATCAAAAGCAGTGCTGTAAATCTTTGATTGTTGGGTTCCAAACAAAAATTACAAAAAAAAAAAAAAAAAAAAAAAACCTACACCCCCCCTCCCAAAAAAAATCACTAAAGTTCTCTGTATCAAAAGTCATGCATGTGTGCATGTAGCCTGGCCCTTGTCTTCCTACGCAGCTCCGCTCAATTCTAGTTTCTCTTCTCTGCTCCGTCTGGGACTTCTCCCACTGACATGGATTTTGCTGGCAGATTTTTAGCCGGGCCAATCAGAGAACAGAACGTCAATTTTCTGTGCAGTGTCTGCTTGTAGTTTATTTTACCTGGGCCAATCAGCAAACAGAAGGAGGGGCTTTGAACGATATCAATTTTCTGTGCAGTGTCTGCTTGTAGTTTATTTTACCTGGGCCAATCAGCAAATAGAGGGCGGAGTTTTGAACGATGTAGATTTTCTGCGCAGTGTCTGCTAGTTATTTTAGCAAACGGCAGTGGAGGAAGTGAATGAAGCCAGTCCGTGTTGATAAGGCTTCCAAATTAAAATAAATTTGTCTGACAAAGCAGCAGCTCTCATTTACAGTCATCTCGTTTGGCTCGGTATATTTCTCCTCTCAGCAGGGTTGTTTACAGCACACGCGATTTCCGGTTAGCTTCTTAGCTTAGCCTCCGTCACAGCGACAACACATACATGCTTCAGCAGAGGCCACGCCTCCTCCAAGAATCACTTCTCTATGCATCAAGTCCAGACCCTTGTATGAAGCAAAGTGAAGGACAGGGTCTGGTTTTAACCAGGCTAGTGTGCATGCATTAGCTCATCCAAAGGGATGAGCTAAATCTTAGTTATATTGGTTTGTCAAAATCGATTACTGGGGTTAAAACAAACTAGGCAGTGGTACAAAGCTCATAAGCTGTTTTTATTACAGCTGAAACATTATAACATATACCTAAAATNATTTATTACTTTATTAAGTTTATGTGCTCTGTGGTCATGACATTTCACAAAAACAATTACTTCTGGAGCACCACATGCTCACTCTTCATTTTTTGCAAAGAAAAAAATCAGGAGTGGTGAGAAAGATGAGAAAACTGGATAAAAACATGAGAAATTCAAGAACTCTGACTATATCAAACAAAAGAAAAGCACAAAAATACATGACTGTGTTTTTGGTAAAACCATACAGATACTGAATAGGCTAGTAGCTGAGGCCACCATAACCCCATTGGCCGGCCACAGAACTCATTTCAAGTCTCACCCTTCCATGTTAACAAATGTGAAACTAGTCTGAATAAACAATAAAAATAAAACTCTGATAATTTTTTCAATTAAAGATTTTTGTTAATTCACGCAGTTCTGTTCATTCCACACATAGGCAGATTGATTCAAGTTTAACTTATCACCAATTGCCTCTACATCCCGATAGTTGTAGTTTTACTGCTTTCATTACATGAAGGGCTTTGTTCATTTCAACACAAGGTCCTTTTGGACGTGCTTCAGTACATGTGCCTTTCAAAAGATGATGCACACAGGTCTGAAAGATTTGCCAAGTTACTGGCACTTCAAGGAGCAACACAATGAATACATACAAGTTATTCTCTAACACATAATAGACGTGGCCCCCAAAAGATCAACTTCAGAAAAAGCTCATTTGATCAGTCAAATTTTCCACCCCGGGACATGTCGTCTCTAAGGCGGGCCTGTGTCCCAGTCCAGATCACCTGACTGCCATCGCTGAAGCCCTGCACCAAACAATGTGGTAGCTTTTTGTTTGTTCCTGAGCTAAACCTCCTGAATCAGCAAGTTAACACCAAGCTACGCAACCAACAGCCCCCACAAGAACTACTTCCAACACATACTCCAGCTGAACTAACATGGACTGATGCAGAAAATAAAACTTTCAATGATCTCAAAACAATGCTCCTTACTATCTACCACCCTGAACTTCTAACATTCATCACAGCAGATGCCTCATACTACGGACCGGGAACTTTTCTGTCATAGCTGCCCTCAGACAACGTGGTACGCATTGTTGCATTTGCTTCTTGCACCTTTGAGCAGGTTCTGCACTGGACTCGATCAAAGAAATAGCTCAAATCTCCCCTTTCCAAACTGCATTCCTGCTGGAGGTCTGAAGTGTAAGAGCCCATTCCACATAAAGTCAAACCTAACTTTCTTGTGCATCATGAACTGGCTACAGCATCACTAATATTCAGAAGAAAACATCTTGTAGTTTCCAAGTTTTTGAGAGAACAGGTTGAGCACCTGGCCCATAAAGGACATTAGGGAATGATTTGCACCATTTGAACATGGAGTTTACAACTGCAGCTTTGTTATTACCCTTGTTTAATATTTCAGTAAATGAACTGAAGTAGCATTTACTTCTAATGCTACAACAAACACTGTCATTGTATCCCTAACTTCTGTTTTTGCTCATGAAGGAAACCCTTACCCATCACAACAAATAATGGACCACACCAAGCTACAGAAAGCTCCCAGAAGCCTGCAGTTACTGAAATGCTTCACAGCTACCAGGCACACATGCCACAACTGATGGAACCTGTTCTCCAGCTTCTCAGAGGAAGACAAAACCAGAGATGCTGCCTCCACCGAAGAACAATGGACAGTACAACCATGTTGGAGCTGAAGTAGTTCTGCAACAAGCCAAAAGTGAGCTTTACAAAACCCACCAAGGTGACTGTTGGAGCTAAGGTCAGAGCGTGCAAAGCTTTTAATGATCCTGTGTCAGTACAGCATCAAACTGGCCTGATCACATTCATCCTTACTGATGGAAGAAGATGGAATGCTGTACAACTTTCACTCTGCTCACAGGGCTCACATGAAACACCAACCACTGGTACAGCAGAGGAACCCCTCAGCCCAAAACGAACTGTTCTGCAAAAGACATGCACCAACCTGGACAAAAGACTATGTGATGGCAATAAAAAAATGAGTGAAAATATTTGGGTAGTGGGGGAGATGTTGTGTTTTCAAACTTCCACAGTAAAAAGACTGTTGCTCTGATCTACTGCTGTTATGACCTCATTATAGGGTGCTGATGTAACAGCATGCCACGGTGTTCAATAAAAATGGAGTATCATCAGTTACTGGTGGTAACGGTTTAGTTTAAACTGTTGTCTCTATACATGCCTATTTTATTACAACTGTAACAAGTGGATTCTGTAAAACATTGTAGAGAGGAGTTGGAGATGCCCAGAACTGAGAGGGGTTTGAGACACCTTAGATGAGAGCATCTGTTCTGGACAAAAAAATAATTGCACAATTTTTAGAACATGTTCAAATTCAAGTGGAATTTCCTATTACCTTACTACTCACATAAGGGAAATTTAGAAGCCATATGAATGTTTCAAGATACTTTAGAGAATGCCTTATGAATGCTGTTCACCACTGCCTTGTAGAATACCAACTTATACTCACTTGGCTTGTTTACAAACTGAAGTTGCGCTGAAAGCCACCAATCAATCAATTTTGCACAACTTGCAAAACTTTGTTTTCCAGTTCTCGAGATTAAAAGTTTAAGATGCTTTTTCAGAACAAAGCTGACAATAAGCTCTGTAAAAACACCAATTGTGTTTTGCTTCCTTACTCCCATCATACAATATGGTTGACTCAAAGTTTTGTCAATGACGCCTCAATTTTACAAAGAGACTCAAATTTTCTGGAATCATTTATAAAAACCCAACAGATTAAACTTCACAAATTCAAACACACATGGCTTTTGACCAAAGCGGTTCTAATATTAGGATGGAGCCAGCGCATTCATAACAATTTTTTTCTTTTTTTTTTGCTTTGACCACAAAAGTATTGACTGTAACACAAAACAAAAACAGGGCTACAGGGCCATTTCACTTTGGGGGCACTAATATAGAAACAAACAACCAATGTAAATGTTGGAACCTTCTTAAAACAATGGCCTGAGTCTTGTTTTTTTTTCAAGTTTTTCGGAAATCATGAAAAAAAAAGTACCATATGACATTTTTTGAGATTCCAGACCAACGTTGTTTTACAAAGGTGTTGAAATGTTGTTATGTAAGGTTTAGTCTGCCTAAAACAAGTCCCAACAGTAAAAACAATGAGCTTCAATGTCAGGAGGGTTGGTCCAATCAGCACTGGTCTGACCGTCTCCAGAATAACCAGCACACTTCCAGCCACAGTACTGGTCTAATTAGCACTGGAACCACCAGCACTGGAACGATTACCAATGGTCCAATCAGAATGGGTCCAGTCAGCTCTGAAACAACTATCATTGAAACCATCAGCACCAGTCCAACCAGCACAGGACCAATTAGCACTGGAACCATTAGCTCCAGAACAATCAGCAGTAAAACAGTTATTACTGTAACAACTGGCACTGGTTTGTTAAGCTGTAATAGTTTGATAAGCACCAGGCTAATGTCTGACCAGCAATGGAATAAGGTCACTGGTCATCACTAGAACTATCTGCACTGGTTCAGTCAGCACTGGAGCTCATTGTTTAGTGCTGTTATGTTGTACGGCTGTTTATTTCAGTCCTCAGTCATGTAGTGAATGCTCCTCAGTACACAGAGATTAATTCTCTGCTGCTGTTTTTAACTTGTGTCATAAACAATCTTTAAATTCTGTTTATTAACAGTCATGTCTTTTTATATCAGCAGCTACTGTTTACAGCTTCTTGAAACAGTGAATAAAACTCCTATTCAGAAAAGTCAAAGATCAGAAATGCCTCTCAGCAGCTGGTGTTCTCAAAACACAAACAGCTGTTTAACACAGGGTTTTTGAAATAGACGGGTGGAATTAGTGCATCTTTTTTTAGGGACATCAGGACAAATACTGTGATTTCAGTTGACAAATCAAGTCCCCGCACAGCAGTCTCTTACAGAGAAACAGAGAAAGCTACTGCAACAGTTTACATAAACTGGACTTTCTGACAACCATCACTAGTCCAACTCACTGTTGTGTGTGTGTGTGTGTGTGTGTGTGTGTGTGTGTGTGTGTGTGTGTGTGTGTGTGCGTGTGCACGCGCGCATCTTCATCTTACCTATGTAATATTTCATCTCAGTGTCATGCTTGTTCATGAGCTCCAGCAGGCGTAGTTCAATCTGAGCCTGGTTTAGAAATGCCTTTTTATTTTTAATGATCTTAATGGCAACCCACTCCTGCTCATGGTGGTCGTAGGCCTTAACCACCTGTAGACACACAAAATCACACTTTATAACTATGCAACCAGAAAACACGCTGTGGAAAAACAAACTTGGTTAGACAGTAAATGTCCTCAATGAGAGATCCTGAGGCGGAGACCACATGAGGGGAGGAAGACTTGCAACATGAAAACGTTTTTTCTAGGGGTGTCCCGATACCAGTTTTTTCAAGACTGAGTACAAATACGAGTACTTGAGTTTGGGTACTCGCCGATACCGATACCGATACCGATACCGATACCAAGTAGCGGGGTTAGGGTGGATTATCTGTTCAACTTGTTGAATATTAAACAGAATGAAAA